GTGTGCTGGGCAGGGCCAGGAGTTGGACTGGATGATCCTGAGTCCCTTCCAACTCGGGACACTTTGTGAATCACTGCTATGGCTTCCTGCACAGGCAGGAGCGCAGAGAAGAAAAACCACCAGATCCTCAAAATGCCTGAGCTGGAAAGAGCTGAGGAACCCACGGGGTGAGGGAGCAGGAAAGCAGCCCCACTCTGACAGCATTAAGGCACCAAGCCCGGCCCATCCCGCTCCCCAGCCCACGTTCCAGCACCCAAAGTGGCAGCACTCACTCGGAGAACTCCCCGCAGATCCAGGCGGCCGCGTAGAGCACCTCGCAGATGCCGTTGCGCTGCGTGTTGCTGGCCAGCAGGTGGGCGTTGTCCAGCAGCGTGGCCATCTGCGACACCGCGAACTTCCGGATGGCCTTCACCCGGATGGCCACGTCCAGCATCTGCGCGGCGATGAGGTGGCCGTGCCTCGTGCCCTCCAGGCGGGTCAGCTCCACCAGGATGCTGATGTACCTGCGGGAGGGGCGTGGGGGGGTCAGCGGGCCAGCCCCCCCCTCCACCAGGGGAGGAGCAGAGACAGCGGGGCGAGCACTGACCACTCGAAGTTGGTGATGTACTGGTAGTTGGACTGACTGCAGATGTCGATGATCTTGGTCAGCAGCTCGTCCCGGTACGTCGTCCCCTCGGCTTTGTCCACGTGGATCATCAGCTTCTTCACAATCTCCATCAGGTTCTTCTTCGATACCTGGGGGAGGGTGGGAGGGTTGAACCACAGCTAAGCCCTTCTCTGCACTGCCAAGCCCTTCCAGTTCCAGCCAAGCTCCTGGCTGGGCCCATGCCACGTGTTAACAAGACACCAGAACCACCTCGCCAGGCCCCAGCTTTGCTCACGATCCAAAAGGGAACCGGTTTTTGTCTCTGTGTAATGTTGTTATTAAAGTAATTACAACAATTATTATAACAATTATTATCTGTAATGTTGCTGGTAAAGCAGAGCCAGCCCAAGTGCACAAGGCTGTGATCTGGGAGAGCTGAGGATCAGAATTACTCACAGAAGCACAGAAACCCAGCAGGAAATTCATCTTCTACTGCGAGATGAGCAAATTTAGGAGCTCAAAACATTTCTGCTTCTAAAGGAAACAAATTTAGGAGTCCCTGACATCCAGTGGAATTCCAGCACATCAAAATGGGTGATTTCCAAAGTGAGAAGCTCCTTCCAGTCTGAAGCAAAGTTTTCAAAGCCCTCTCAAGCTGTGCCAGGTGTTTCACTTGTCATAAGTGCCAGAAAAGACATGGGAGTTGTTTATCACAACTCCAGAGGGCAGAGAAAATGGCATGTTTTTCTCAGATAGCCCTTTCCTAAAAGGACCGAGAGCTGGAGAGGAAAAAAAATGTAGGAACATACCATGCCATAGAGGAGATCTAAAGCTCTGAGCCTGATGGACTCATCCTTGTCATCCAAACACTGCAGAATGAGATCCTTGTGGGACTGAACCGACTTGGGGTGCGTTTTCAGGATTTTGGACATTGCCAACAGTCCCAGGTACTTCACTGTGAAAGACAAAATAAAACTTCTTTCCAAATATAGAAACACTGGTTTGGGCTGAGCATGAAATCTTAAAGGCTGGTTTCAGTAGAAGCACTTGGGATTCAGACACTTGAATAAAAATCTGTGATGAAGAAGAGCATTTTTTGAGAATTGTGCATCACAGATTACAGCCTTTAATTTCATAATTCCATAAACAGACATGTAATTATAGATATAATCTTCATCATGGGCTTCTTACACACCTCATGTTTTATCACTGATATTAACACAAGTATTTTATATATCAGAAACCAAGGGGTTTGAGAACAGGTATCCTGGGAGGAACAGAGCTTAGGGTGTGTAACAGCCCTGTTCTCAACGAGACAAATTCAGATGGCAGCAAAAAGAGCTGCACTAAAGAAAGATTTCCCAGTGTTCTTTGTGATCACTAAAATAAGTCAACACTCTCCCGTGTCACTGTTCTGCTCCCACTGCTGAATACCCCTCACTGCTTTCCAAGCTGCAAGTCTATAAAAAGGGAAATCCCAGGGCATGGAAAGAATTGGTTTAGATTTACAAGACCACAAAGAGCAGTAATTATTGCTCTCATTTGTTTTTTTTTAAAAAAAAATCACTATAAAGAAGTGCAATTATTTCCACACTAAACCCCCCAGGCATTGTTTGGTGTTTGCAGACACAGCCCCAGAGCTTGTGGGTCAAGGATTTCATGAAGACAAGCACCATACTTACAGTTCTGGTCAGAGTCTTCTATCAGTATCCTCAACTTCTGAACACACAGCTGGGGAAAAAAAAAAAAAAAAAAAAAAAAAAGGACTAAGTTATGTTTATTCCAAGTTTTGGTTAAAATAACTCTTCCCAAATTTACTCGTTACACAAAGAAGGGTGTTGAGCACCAGGGGTCTCTGGCTCAGAGGGTTTTGTTGCATCAACAGATTTCCAACCGGGGGAACCTGAACCAGAGAACACAAACCCATTCCCCTGGGGCACTTGGGGGCAGAGCAGAACAACCCCCCCCAAAGCCAGGCTGGTACCCCAGGCTGGTGCCCCAGGCTGGTACCTGGATGCTGGCGCTGTGGTTGGGCATCCCCGAGGACAGAGAGATCAGCACTGAAACACAGAACACACAGACAGTCAGCACTGAGGGCTCCCAGGGGCTGCAGCAACACAACACAACACACCTGAAGGTTCACACCTGGCTCAGCTCACAGGAAAAGGGGTATTTCTTTAATTTACATGTCCTATCTAGATGTACTTTTATGTGCCATATTTATATCACAGGTTATTTTGTTGTTTGTTTGCTTGGACTTTTGGGGGTCTCGGGGAAGGAGAGAAGGTTGTGCCACAACACTTTAACAATAATAATAATAGGGCAGGAAAAAAGTGTAAAAACCCCCTTTTACACTTTTATTTACAGAAATACTGTTTTATTTACAGAAATATGTCAGCAGCTACTGCACAGCTGAGGTTTTAAGTGTGGATTTTCCCAACTCAACGAGATGCAGCAACGGACCCTGGAGTTTAATGTGATGGGATTGGGGCTTTAATTGAGCCACTGACTCATGGCACAAATCAGGTCCCACTGGTGACTATTTGGGACATTTTAAAGCCCTGGGACACGGGAGAGCTGCAGGGACACCACTGGCACCTGCAGGGGACAGTGGTAGGTGCTGCTCTGGGGTTTCACAGTTTCTCTGTTGGCTCTGATTGTGACCTCAGAGCCCCTGAGGTGTCCTGGGTGGTGAATTCCCACAGGATCACCCACTGCATCTCAGTGCAGCCCCCTCTTATCTCCTTCCAAGACACCAAGTTTTTCAACTGTGAAGTTGCAAAATTAAAAATAGAAAACCCCCCACAACTCTGATCCATCACCATGTAAGAAAGCTCTGACAGAGACACCAGCCCTGTGTGAATTCTGTTGCTGCTGGTGTATTTTGGAGTCGTAGCAACATTTAGGAGCTTGCACACAAACAATCTTGTTTGTCTGTGCTTGGTTTCAGCCTTCAGCAAACACAGTTGTAGTGACTGTGCCTCCCCCACTGGCGGAGGATTTCAGCCCCACAGTGACACAAAGTTTGCCAGGACTCTTCTTCCAGTTATAAAGTGCATGAAGTGAAGCAGAGGAAGGTTTGCAGAGGGGGTTAATTGATGATGAAGTTCATCAGGGGGTTTTTTTGAGGTTACAGTTTCAGTTCTCACCTGCTATTACTGTGTTCACACATTCATACAGGAGAGACATGGCTGAGGTGCTGCAACAGAAATCAAGGATATTAAAGAAGGAATAAACTGGCACATTTGCAAGAGTTGTCAGCAGTATCTTAGAGCAAGTTAACACCCTGAACTTCACAAGAAATTGCCAGTATTCTGTTCCACATCCCTTTGAATAGATGAAGTGATTCCCCCTTAAAGACTCCTGGACGGGGGAGGAATTTTTAACTGAATGTTTAAAAAACCAAAACTCTTCCTGCAGAAGCAGCAAGTAAGAAGAGCACTGTGACAAGGAATGAGGAAGGAAGCATTACTCAAACTTCAGCACCAGCTACAGAGCACTGAAGCAATCTTGTCCAAAAATCAAATTAAATCCTCTGCCCGAGGTCAAAAATCCACGATAAAGCAGATGGAGAACCTCAAGTGTCCCTCCAAGGAGTGAGTCCCATCCCAGCAGCAGAGCCCTGGGTGTGCAGGTACACACTGCTCACCTCTGCCAGCCACAACCCATTCCCAGAGTCTGATTGTCCCCAAAGTTCAAGATGACTGTTGTGGCAGGGGGCTGGTTTGGCTCAGGGAATGCTGTGAGATCCAAAGGGACTGAATGGACACCAAACCAAACACCACTCAGTCCTCACTGCTAAAAAATGCATGTCTAACTGGGGAGAGGTAGCACTGAAGACATTGTCCATTTTCCCAGTTTTTCTGGGGGGTTTAATCTATTTTTGACTGCTGCCAAACTCCTCTGCAGGTATTTGGATGCCAGGAACCCAAGGAGGAGGGACAGGAATGGTGAGGCCAGAGCTGCTCTCACAGCTACACAGATATCTGTTCAAAACCTGCTCCTTCCCATCCATCCCTTTGCTCTGCCATGTGAAGAGAAACAAACCTTTTCATTCCACAACTCATGCATGAGCTGGCACTGGGATGTCCTGATAACTGGGAGATGGAACTGCCTCCAAGGCATCCACTTCCTGCTTTCAGTTCAGAATTAGAGCCACAACAACACCCCAAACCAGCTCCAACAAGGAATTATCTTCGATTTTATTCCACCTAGATTTAGGACTTACAATGTCAGAACTCTCCCAAAAACACATCTGAGAAAGGATTTTAACATATTCCTTGCCAGGCTGCTCTGGTGGGTAAGGCACTCCCAAAAAAGTCAGGAACTAAATGTGTGACCAGGACAGGCAAATAACCAGCTGAGCCTTCCCTAAGCCAGAGTTTTCATACACCCTCCACTGTCATCTCTGGCTCAGAACGCAGTGAAAGGAAAGCAAATTGCTCCCGTTTCCACACGTGCTTTGGGGGAATTCACGCTGACAGACACCCAGACTTTCCTCTCAGGTCTTTGACCTCACTCAGGTTTTTCAGAAACAGCCCTGGTGTGAGATCAGCTCTTGATATTTGAAGTCAATACACTGAAATCCAGAAAGAGCTGGGAAATGCATCCCCAGCCCAGGTGATGACCCAGCCAGCAGGCACTTCCCCAGTCCCAAGGAACCAAGCAGGCTCGGTGCCACAAACCTGTGGATGAGGTTGGTCAGGGGCTCAATCAGCTTCTTGCCCAGTCTTGGTTCTAATGGAGTAAGAGCACCAAACTATTCAAAGAGAAACGCAGACAAAGTGGTTTAATAACTGTTTTTAAACATCATCCAAATATTATATCAATTGCTGGATGCAATTGCAGCTCACTGGATTTAAACCAAGCTCTATGAACATATTTTTTCCCTCTGGTTACATTCACAAACACCAGAAGATATTCCTGGGTTGTTTTTTAAATTATTTAACCACACCTCCCAGCCAGAAAGCCATTTCACACCCAAGGTGACTTAATGAAAACCCCAATCCTAAACCCCCCAAAAAAGCAGAAGACTTGCCAGTTTTATAATTTTAATGAGGACCCAATTATTGGTGGATGAAGTCATCAGCTTGAAGAAGAGGGGAGCGAGGGACAGGTAGTTTTTGGGATTGCGTCGAGCCAGCTCACAAATCACGTTGACTGCAGCAGATTGCACACCTGGGAAAACAGGGAGCAGCAGCAACCTCAGCAGGGCAATCTCTGTCATGGCCATTTCTGGTGCAGAACCCCCAGAGCAGAAGCAGCTGAAGGTTCAGACCTGAGTGCTGATGCTTTGGCCTTGTTCCCAGCTGAACTGAAGCAAAGGCCAAGGATGTCCAAGCAATCTGAGAAAGGATTTTATTTATTCTGGCTATTTTCTAAAGTATCAGCAAGCTGGGTGTCTGCTCTGGGTCAGCAACAGGCACCACCCCCATCAATAATCACCCCCCAGAAAGGTTCCAAACACTGCTGCTTCTCGAACATGTGTTACTGAGACATGTTTAAATACAGCCCAAAAATAATGATTCCTTAAATAACAATCTGACTGGACAAGTCCACTCCCTTCTCCTCCTCGAAATGGACTTTTTTCAGATGGGAATGTTTTAGTCTGGACAGGCTGGGTGTCCCAGCAGAGAGCACAGCTCCTCTCCAACAAGGTCTATCAGGGTGTTTTTATCTCTGCAGGTGAGGGATGTGTTTTGCTTTATTTAAAAATACTGCTCTGGAAGGTGCATCTTCTGTGCCCACCTTGAATCAGTCCAATCCATGGAATTAAATTTCTCCCTCTAAATGCAGACCCAAATCAAGTGGAGATCCCAGGAACACATCACACACAGAATTCCTAAAACCAGCGGAGATCCCAGAACTGCATCACACACAGGATTCCTGGAACAAGTGTTTTGTTGCACCTCTCAAAGACTGAGTGAAAACGTGAATATGACACAGAGGAATTGCCAATTCCCTGTGCTGCTGCTGCTGAACTGCCAAGACACTTCTGAGGGGCCCAAACAGCAGCGTAGACTCAAAGATTAAACTAAAAATAAATTAAAAAATGCACTTAGCGAGGTAAAATTATTTTAAGTACGTCCACAGCAAGCCAGTGGCTGCAGCTTTGTAAAAGAGCACAGGAAACAACAACAAAACCCTAAACCCCGAGATCAACTGCAGTATTTTTAAGTCAAGTTTAGTAAGCACCAAACCAGGACCATTAAGCTGCTTTGGGCCATTAAGGTTTAATCCACTGCTACACTTTGAGTAGCTTTGGGTTTGAAGAACGTTTGAAAGGACGTGTTTTTAACGTCTGTCAGGACCCTGCTGGGCTCATCTACCCCTGGATGGGGTGAATCAGTGCCCAAAAAAGGATCTCAGGGATCCTCCCCTCCACCAGCTCTCCAAGCACACGTGTGGGGAGCAGCAGGAATTCCCGAAAAATCCACTCACCGGGATCGGGATCTTCAAGTTTCTCTTTAAGGCGAGGAAAGGCAGGACGGAGGGACTCGGGGTACTTGAGGAACACCTTGTACATGATCAGCACTGCCTTCTTCCTGATGTAAGGCTTGGTGTGGGACATCTGCCAAGGACACAGCCCAGTCAGGCTCTGAGGAGATCTGGGCTGCCAGAGCTCTCCCAGCTCACAGCACCTTGGAGAACTCTGCGAGCCCAAAGTCCTTGCTGGGACGCTCAGCTGCTTTTTGGAAACTCCAGAGCCAAATGCTGCTGATTAGCACCAAAACTAACAGGTGATTTCAAGGTGATCCTCTGGAGCTAAGGCTGTAAATGCTCCCCCAAAAAGCACCACAAGAAAAGCATCGGTTTTCACATGCATCAGTTCTTAATTTATCAAACTGGACCAATTTAATATTCTTTTATTACAGGGAAAAGCCATTTCAATCTTCCCAACTCACCAGAGTCATGATGTCATTTGCCAAGTCCCTGGCAAGATCTGGAGTAACAAAACAGGACAAGCCAGTCAGTGCAACTCCAGTATCATACTGGTTAGGGCTACTCAGATCCTAAAAAAGGAAAAACAGGCTCAAAAATTTAAGATCACACAGGACGTTGAGAAACAATTTTGTCAGACCAATTTTATTCACTCAGCACAAATGAGGCAGAGCTTGTGCTTCGTGGGATTATTTCTATCAGCCCCCACCACCTGCTAAAATATAGCCAGCCTGGGGGTTAACTGTAATTAACCAAGAGATGGATGATTGCAACGTAAAAGCAATTAGAGAGATGGCACCTTGGTGGGATTTTAGGGATGGGAGTCATATTTAAACACTCATTACACAATCACCAACATGGTTAAAGTCCTAAAAAATTGGTGTTACACACTAACCCTGGTAAGGCAAGGCCCAAGTGTCACCAGCTCAGCTGGGAACAGGCACTGTTGGTGAGTGTTCACCAGAGCTTAATCCACTAAAGAAATGGGATTATTTCCCTTCCAAGCTGCTGGCAGCACCCACAGCTCCCATCCGCAAAGTCATGGCCCAAGTCAGGGTGTGGGACAAGTTTCTTGGCCCTCTTTGCAGTCAGAATCCTACTGAGCCCTCCAGAATCCTGCAGGGCATTCCAAGCTCCAACACTTCCCATTAACATTCCTCTCTGGGCACGTTCAGCACAGATCATAACCCAGATCTCTGCCTGCAGGATCCCTCCTGCACTGAGCATTCCCAGCTGGAACTGCCCAGATCCACACGGACACACAGGCAGCTTCAGGAGAGCTAAACATAGCCAGGCCTTTGGGCTTCTGTGCCATTTGCATCTCATTACCTCAAAAACCTGCTGCAGGTGGGGGGGAATTAGATTCTACTGTAAGAATAATGAAATCTGCTGCTTAAAGAGCAAAAAATAAAAAACTGCAATTCATCCTGGCTTTAATGTATTTTGAGAGCTGATAAAGCCTTAAAATATAAAGTTGGTGGATCAGTGAAACATGAAAAGGCATAAAAAAAGATGTTTTCAAGAAAAAACTCAAGCACAAAGTGGAAGAAGTAGCCAAGCAAGTGACTGAAATCCAGTAAAGTCAAGAGTCCATAATCAAGAAATGGAGGGACATTCATATTCAGAGCAGAACAGTTTAAGAGATAAAGGCAAAAGCACTAGTTCTTTAGGGAAGATGCTGGATAACATCCCACTGATCTTTTTTAAGCAAGTAAAAGACATTTTGGCTCCCTAGATAGTAAAAATCTGGGCACATCTTGTACTGGATCAGTCAAGTTTTAAAGCAGTGATACTTTAAAAAAAAAAAAAATCAAACTTAAGAGCTTTAAAAACAACTGTGATCTGAGGAAAGGGAAAATGATGCTGTAACCCAACAACTCTGAAAAAAACCCAGTGAAAATGAATACAGGACTTTACAAACATTCTGCCCCATTTTCACCCCCAGCTGTACCAAAGAAGCCCAAGTCTGATCTGTCATCCCAGGAGAAAGCAGCCCTCACAAGCAGAGGGTTTTTGGAGCTGGGGAGTGCTCCTTCTCCCTCAGGGATGGGGCTGTTTTTCCTACCCATGCCACTGTCCCAGGGGCTGCCTGAGAGCCCTGAGGGAGCGTCAGGGAGCTCTTGCTGTGCTGGACAAAGCCAGGGACAGCACAAGGGACAATCCTGGCTGTGCCATTAATCCCTCAGCCTGTGCAATGATGCAAGTCAAGAGCTCTGCCTGAACACCTTTATACTCCTGGAAGAGAAATACCTGTTGCAGATGTAAAAACACAACAAGAGAGACAGAGAGAGAGTGAAACAAATGTACCTTCCGGATCTGATTGGTTGTCAACATGATGACATCAGTCCCCTCATGAAAGCACTGGGAGGCAGCCAGGTAACCGATGCGCTGGGGGAGGGCAGGAAGGGAAGCACAGTTTGGTTATAAAGTCAATTTACACAAAGTTTTGATGAAGAACAACTGGTTGTTTGACTAGCAACGTTAAAAATATGAGCAGTTAGGTTTGTGGGACACGGGGTTTTCTAGGAAAGGGGAAGGAGCAATCTCAGACAAGTAACATCTCTAGTGATAATACAGCTGGTTTAGGGATAATAAACCACCTTCACCTTCTCTACTCTGTTACAACACATGGGTTCAGTGACCACAAGGATGTAGAAATAAGGTAGGATTGTCTATCATATTTACTTTGTGTTGACTCCTGACTTTCAGGGACTCAAACCCAATTTGGAAATTATTCCTTAGGAAGCAACACTCCACCCTGTTTGGTGAAAGAGCACGAAACAGATCTTCCAAGAAAAATTATAAAGCTATTATAAAATAAAACACTCCTGTTACTAAGAGCCTCAGGTGGCCTTCACACAAAAATACCCTGCTTTTTTCCACTAAAAGGATCTGACAGCTGTTGTCACACATCTGGCAGAGGCAGACCAAGCATTCCCCACCGGACTAGAAGGACACCCAGTAAAGAAGCAGCCTGGCCAGAACAGCTGCAGGGACTGGGAACTCACCTTGAATGTAAACTTGGATGCACTCATGACTTCGATAATGTTGAAAGCAGCCCAGCTGATGTCATAGCCCAGCATCTGTAACTGTGAGCAGAGAAACCAAGAGAAACTTCTGAAATCAGAGACTTGAGGAAATCAGGACACCTCTCAAAATTGAGGATGTAACAAGAGGTTGAAAATAATACTGTAAGACATCTCCAGCTTATGAGTAATATTACATTCTACAGCATTCACAGGAAATGAAAAAAGTCTCAAAGTTCTACCAGAAACAAGTTTTAAACAGTTTGCATTAATTCCAGGCAACAGAGGTTGTGGCTGCCCCATCCCTGGAAGTGTCCAAGGCCAGCCTGAATCAAAGGAGCACCCTGGGCTAGTGGAAAGTGTCCCTGCCCATGGCAGGGGGTGGCACTGGGTGGGCTTTAAGGTCCCTTCCCACCCAAACCACTCTGGGATTCTGTGCTCTACAATTATATGAGCATTGGTGTGAAGGGTTTGCTTCCTGGATTTTTTTTTAATAAAAACCAGAACATAATTCTTAATTCTTTACCATTATTTTTGTCTTCTCCATCTCAAAGGACAGAACAAGGAGAAACAAGACCAGTTTCAAGTGCTCATGGAGCTACGTGATAAGAAACAACCTTTTTATAGAATTGTTCTCACTGAAATCAGATTTGCTCCCTGATCCATGTCAGTAAAATCCAATTGCAGGGAACAGAAGAGGACCATGCAGGCTGAGCAGAGCAGGCACTGGGGCAGCACAGAGGCCATCTGCAGGGGCAGGGCAGGCCAGCTGGGCAGGGCAGGCCGGCGGGCACTCACATAGGTCAGCTTGCAGACGGCGTTGGCCTTCACCGCGATGTTGTCCTGCTTCAGCTCCTGCTTGATCTCATCGATGCACTGCGAGATGTACTTGGCCTGAGGGAAACAAACAGCGCAAGGTGGGTTCCTTCACCAGCTCTGCAGATGGGCAGGAGCAGCAGAACCCGGCATTTGCCAGTACCAGCTCTCACACTCACACACGTTTCGGCAGGCACTCGGTTCTGATGGAGCTGCTTGGTAAAAAGAACCATCACAATCCTGGGGGGTTTCCCTTCCCCTCCCCCTCCCTCACAATTACACTGTCCAGGGCTCTGGATTCCCAAATTTGCAGAAATGAAGTTGTTCACTGGAGGTTTGAGCACCGGGGGTCTGAACAAAGCCCAGCTGCCCATTCCTGGAGTGCTCCCTCAGTCCTGTGGGACACCAGAGAACCCGCTCCCTGCGTGACTACAAAAAACTGCGTCAAGTGCCCAAACGTTATTAATAACCCACAGACTCCAGGGGACCGATGGAAAATATGCTGATAAAATATGACTCCACTTCTGGGCACCCTGCACATGATGGCACTGCAGGGGTGCAGCCACACCCACCCTCCTGCTTGAAGGGATGAAGGTGCTCCCTCCATCCCCCCCCCAGTCACGAAGCTCCAAGGGAAGTCATGACCCCCCCCCTTCATCTTAGTTGAGCCCTTCTGCCATTTACTCATTTTGATAAATAACAGTTATTCGTGTGAATTTCCCAGCAATTCAAAGAGCCAAATGTCACAATGTTTACACTTAAATATTGGTCTTTTGTGTCTTAGCAGACAATCACATCTGTGCTCGTGGGAAGGATGTGGCAAACGTGGGATTTGAAAATATCTGTCCAGATTTTACTTTAGAAGCAGGGTTAGCTCAGTCAGAGATTCTTCCAGTTCACAGTTGATTATGAAGGTATCTGCTACAGAAATCATGAAAACTGAAATGCAGAGAAATAATC